TTTTTTTTTTTTTTTTTTTTTTTTTTTTTTTTGGTTGGGGTGGGGGGGGGGGGGTACGGGAGTGGGGGTGCTGTCATACCTCAGGTGCAAATGCTCCCTGAGCTGCAATGGTTCTTACCATATAACCATCAACAGCCTGCTCCAGCCTTATGAATGATTTCCTAGTTTCATCACGTTTGTATTGCTTAACTGCAATATCAGCAAGTAGAATCAACTGTAAAAAATTACAATTAATACAGAAGCAAAGAAGGCTGTACGCAACTAGGGGAATGAAGTACTATAAAATGCAACCACAACAAGTTCTATGAAAAAGATTTTGGAACTAAGCTAAAAGGAGACAACACGGGTTTAAATGCGTGCAACTTTAATAAATGAATATTCAGGAAAGTCAGCTCTCTAGAAGCAATCTAGACATTTTTAACTATGAATTTATGGACATAATTAATCATTCTACAATGCAATCACCTAAAAATACATACCAAATCAAGAATGAGTTCAAGTACAGTATAGTTCAACTGCATATCAGATACTGTGTCAAAGATTTCAATTAGCAGCGGTATTCTTGACACAAACATGGGAATAAGAAATAAATATTAAGTAAGTCCTACCTTCCTGGCTCAACTGTAGATCAAATTCATCTGGACTCAAATTCATGTCAAAGATCTGCAAGTGATCAAGGAGGAGGAAAGTTGAGATACAGGTAAAAAACATAGGAAGTCGTAATCTAATAAGAATGCACTTACCATTGCTTCTACATCAGAAAAATAGGGAACATCCAAATCATTCTCAGAACAAGGCTCTTCCTGATCCGACAGTAGTGACTTTTCATTTCGTTGCGAGACTGGAGGCACTACAAAACTTGATTCAGCATTTAATGCTCCATTGGTTGGAACTGTAGCTTTAGTATCTAATTTCTTCTTACTGCCACTAATACTTTTCTTAAATTTTCAAACACTGTCTAGACCATAAAAATGCTTATCTAGACAATGACCGGCCGATTTATAATCAAGATTCTTTCCCGCTAAAATCTTTGTAGCACCTTCCTTAACAGCTCCAGGTACAAGATATTTTGTGAAGTCTGCACTGAACTGATATGACTTGGGCCTTCAATAGTTCTTGCATTCTTGAGTGCGAAGTGTTGGGTACTACTGTTAGGCAACTCAAATTTTATCCCAAAACCACCAATTCGATTATTGGCACCCATGTCTGATTGTCTTTACGATCCTATCATCAGAGAAGGAGCACAAGAATCTTTTAGTTCACTCTTCCTCAGAATCTGCCCCCCACTTGCTTTTTGAGTGCTAGAGAAATTCTTCATAGAAAGGGTATTAGATAATAAGCATCGTGATCTCTCCAATGAGGCCCTGAGGAATTAGACAGGGAGGGAAAACAAAAGGGAAGAGAAACATCATCATTGCTAGGAATTTCCGGGTCCTCAGTGTTTAGTGTGCAGCATATGACTCCATTACGGTATTCAGGACCAAAAGCTTTCACAGTTCGAACAGGTGAGAGTTTTTGCGTCTATAATTGAACTCTGATACAGCTCCTTCCCTGACTCTTCACTATGTGGACCACTAGTAAAAGTAAAATGTGCATCGGGAGCCTGAGGGACAACATTAGGCAACTCGCTATTGTTAGGAGAATCCAATAAAAGTGAACTGAAACCATCAATATAAAATTTCTCGATTTGGTCTTTTCCATCAGCGTCCATAACAGCTGATCTTCCTCATTTGTAAAGTCAAACAAAGTACTTGTCAATTCCATAACGTCCTCCGGGCTAAGAATTAAATTTCTCATGTTAGGAATCGAATTCTTTAAGTTGGATGCATCTGTATTATTCACATAATCGGCCTCAGTAGGTACAAATGCTTTTCCTGTCTGCTGGCCACTCTCTCCAAGCTGAACGGGCAGAGAAGTGGCAGAAATGTGGTGCATGGTACTCCAAGTTGGCATTTGAGGCAGAGGAGGCAAATAGCCAAAACTGGGAAATGATGTGCCTCTGAATTCAGTATGCACATTTCCTCCATTCTGATTAGTTTGACCAAATACAGCAGGGTTTTCTATGTCTAAAAAGTCAGTTTTAAAAAAGTCACAAATGGATAATTCTTTAGATTGTCCAAATCCCCTGGGCACACACTCACGCACACACTATATAGTATGACAAAAGCCCCAGGACACATTATTACCAGAAAGGGGAAGATCTTCAACACGATCTTGAAGTCCTGCATCACCATTAATTCCAAAAGGATTTGAAACTGGATTTTCAATAATGCAATCTGCAGACGGATGTTCATTCTCATAACTAAAAATAGAATTCCCAGGTTCAGCAAGAGATAAAATATCCATTGCATCAAGTCATTCATCCAAAATTCTTTTACGCAGAGCATAGTTACGTTTACGAATACTTTCAGCTTTAAGCTTCCCTAAACTGCACTTTGTCTCTTTTGTACTGTCTGGCCAATTAGGTCCTGATTGTAGAGTTGAAGCAGAACATTCAGCTCAATCATGCGAGCAGATGCCACTGCAGAAACAACTGGATCATAGAGTAGAGAATACCAACGGTCATGCAGTTCCCCCTTTTGCAAGAGATTCCAAAGAAGCGCCAGCCTACAGCAGCAGAAGAAAATGATGAGATGATGATGTCACAATGGCATTACCAGGAATTATCATTACACAAACTTTCATTACACATTTTCATTAAAAGAGTTTAATTAAACAGTTTCTTCAATCCCTAATATTTCCTAATAAAGCAGTTTTCTGTATGGATTTTTGTATAGGCTTGTGGGGTGGATTAAACTTCGACTTCATCTTGGCTCTGGACAAGACTCAAATTTTTTAAGTTAAACGAGAGACATTGATTTTCATGTTGTCCAGCCGTAAAACGATGCACAACATTCCAAAACAAAATGTATTCTTGACAAACAAAGAGATTACAAAGTTACCAGCTGCGGAGATAGAGGCCGCTGCTTCACTAGTATATATGAATTCCTACTTATTTATTACGATCAAGTAAATTATGGATGTACCCCATCGGTTTTGCCAAATCATATACTAGTGCCTCCAACCCAGACACGTTGGCAGATCTATAAACGTGGACCCCCAGGTACAGCTCAGGATCTGAAACTAAATATACGCCCTGATGACATTCCAAACATGACATGTAATATAAAACAGATTCCAACGACCAAATAATAACGCAATAAAAATTCCTGCAACACCAAATTTCTCCATGCGCCTTCCTTGTCGATCTTATTAAACCAAATATAAATAGAATTACAATCTCAGAACGTCCCATTTCTATTCACCATGTTAGGTTTCTGGATATCGGGTATTTCTACAAGTACAAAACTGAATTCCACAGATTATTCTTCATAAATATGCCAATTCCAATTTCATTCAAACCTCAATTATAATCATTTATATGGGTTAAGACCTTACATACATAAATTTTATTTATATCTCCCGAAAATCGATGTACAAAAATAAAATCAACAATGAAAAGCTTCGAGCTATCAATTCAAATATTTCAAGCAACAAAAGAAAGCCAAGGACATACCAAAACCACATATAAACTAGAGATTAGAGATTTTAAATTAATCAAATAACAAGATTCAAGGTAAAATTTTCAATTGAACAGCAAACACATTAACAACCCAATTCCAGTTTAAAGACAAGACTTCATTTTTCCACTTAAACTTAAATGAACTTAAAATCAACACGAAAATGAATCTACAAACAAAACCAACAGCAACAAGAAAAAGAAGAAAAAACTTGAACACAACCACATGGTGCTCAAAAGGGTTATACCTCGACAGCGTTTTTAAGCAAAAGATCATCTTCTGGAATCCAATTCTGAAGAGGTGTCACCACTCCCATTTTGTCCGCCACAACTCTTTCTTATTCCGCGCCGTTCTCACCCTCTCTCTGCAGTGCTTTTCTTTTCTTCACATTTTTTCCCTCTAAAGTGTGCAGGATTGAGACATGGGGGCCAGAAAAACCTTAAGACTCTCCGACCGTCTCTCCGCTGACGGCAGACAGAAAGCCTATGTTTTTTCTCCTACTAATATTTTCTTATCAAGAATTAAAAAAAAAAAAAATGAAGATTGTTCTCATTATGTGGCAGAATATCAGAAAATTTTGCAGAAACGTGGACGAACGATGTCTCCCATTCGGTGGCGGACCAGGGATAACTTTAACAATAGCTAGCTGGAAAATTCTTCCTATTTTCCACACTAGCCTTTCTTATTAAAAGTACTATATTGCCCTTAATGAAATTATTTACAAGATCTATCTTATATTTTTAAGAATTTATCAATCAGGCCCTATATCAATATTTTTCAATCTTTTGAACACTTTTAAATATTCTTTATATTTTAATAATTCTTCAAAAATTATAGGTTGACCTTTCTTACTTATGTATCCTTTAAATAATCCTTCTGAGATTTCTTCTTGTATATTTGTATGTTTAGTTATAATATCTTCTACTTTTCTTATTTCTCTGCTAGTTCCTACAGAATCAAATTCTATATTATTTCTACAGTTATAATCTATATCTCTGTATATTTCTTCTATTTTTTCTTTACCAACAGGAAATATATCATCAGATTTTTTATTTAGTTTAAGTAAGAAAGAAACATCTTTTTCATCTAAAAATAAAATAAGATTTTTATCATCATTAATATTTGAGGTAGATGCTTGTGAATTGTTCATGTAGATAATTAAAACATAAGCATGTAAAAATAAATAAATAACTTACAGTAATCAATTGGAAATAAACAGGTTTTCCCTCCAGTATGCTCTTATAGATGCTTTGCATGTATTTAATCAATCTTCTGAATCAAGTAAAGATTTAAAATGTTTTGAAATCATTTGGGTTCACAACTGCTTCCGCAAAAGGTTTTTCAATTAAGGTTGCATTTCTCATTCTAGAGAACTAGCCGTGTTTCCACAGACGCTATCTCACAGTATCCAGAGTCCCTGTTTTCACCTCTATCCAAACTCTTTTCAGAATCAAGTTCCTACTTGGAACGAAATTTTAAAAGATAACTTACACACAAGGTGCTACAATTTTTTGTTAGGAAACTGCCTTTTTTCCCCTAAACCATTCATCAAAGACGGGTACTTTAGCATGGCTAACATCCATTCAAAATCAATATTTTGAAAATCTTTTAAAATCTCTATCTGTACTGCCGAGGAATCATGAGAAACTTAACGAAATCCTTTTATGAAAGCTTTGTTGAACATAACAAA